ATAATAAATTAGATCAAGTAATAATATCTTCTAACAAGAAGATGATATAAATTTAGGTCCTTTATATTATGGAAATGAAAATGCCATATTAGTTTTATCAGATAAAAAAAACTTTATCTAAAAGTTCATCTAACAAGGATGAATGTAATAAAAAAAAGTTGACACCTCAACAAAAATGATTTTCAATCTTATAAAGAATTCATGGAACATTGGAAATTAAAAAATTTCACTACTAAGGATAAAAATGAAAAAGCAGAATTTTTAAAATTTATAGAAAATCTTTATGAAGAACATAAAGAATTATTTGTTTTGTTTAATTATCATTATATGTTAAATCATGATACTACAGACATTAGTACCAGTTCTGAAAATAATTCAGAAGAAATAAAAGCTATAAATATTTTAGATACATATGATGAAGAGAAAAACTCTTCAACAGAAGAAAATATTAATATTTCATATCCTATAGAAACAAAGCCGTCTCAAACATTTTTGGGGCCCTAAGCGAAAATAAAAAAATAGATCATGATTGAAGGAAAATATATTACATTACTTTAAACAATTAATTTAATATCGTAGAAAAACTATTAAACTTTTTTTAATATTAATTTTATTGTTTTGTTAAGAAAACACCTTAAATACGACTAAGAGAATAAAAAATCGAATTTGGGTATAAATTATGATATGGAGCTTTATTCTAAATAATAAGTTCAAAAAATAAAGAATAACATATTATGTTATCATTAGATTGAGATTGAAGAAGACTAAGAGTTAAAGAATATTTGGTAAATTAAAAAATAAGATTTGTAAAAAAAGAGAAAAATATGATTAGATTTAATTCAAAATTAAATAAATTAACGAGAGAGATGGAGAAAGAGATGAGAAATTGAGAATTTTATGAAATTGTAAAAACTTATAGGCCTTAATTATAAAGGTAGAAATCGAGGTTGAAATAGGGGCCTTAATTATAAAGTTAGAAAGTGTGATTGAAAAAACTTAAGGGCCTCAATTGAAAAGGTAGAAAGTGAGATTGAAACAAACTTAAAAGCCTCAATTATAAATTTAAAAGTGAGATTACAAAATTAGGGGACTCAATTATAAATGTGAAAAAAAGGAATAGAAAAAAATTAGAGATTTCAATTATAAAGATAAAAAGTGAGATTGAATAATAATAGGATCTCAATTATAAAGGTAAAAAAAATAAGATTTAAAAAATTAAGGACCTAATTATAAAGATGAAAAATGGGAGCCCCAATTATAAAAACCCTATTAGTCAGGTTTGTATGAAAACATATCAACTAGGCCCAGATCTAAAAGGAAAAAGAAAATTATATCCTGATCTTTTTTAAGATTGTTATTTAAGGTTTTCTAATTGAAACAACGAACAAGACCAAAATACTAATAGAATAATAGGAGAACAAGTAGAAAATATCTACACTAATGAAGTTAAAACTGAACAAACATGAGAAATTTCACAACCAATTCCTTATAGTGTAGAAAATCTTAATAAAAAATGTTGCTCAAGGAGTATATTTTGAATTAAATAATGTCTCTATATCAGATTATAAAAAAAACCCATAGATGATTGGGCACATACTATGACAATTATTGTAAACGACAATAATTGGCTGAAAGGAAAAAATTAATTAGTTTGTTGGAACTTTTCAAAGTGATGTTTTACAATTTCTTTGTAGATGGGAAGAATCAATAATAGACATTGAGTAAAAATAAAGTGAATAATTAACCAAATTCAAACGCCTAAAGATGTTTTCAAAGGATTAACACAAATTCTAAACACAGAATTTTGTTGTTATTAAGATAAGGAAGATCAAGATGGTCAAGCAAGCTATATATTATTAAAAATAAAATTATGTGATATAGTATATTTAGAAGAATTTTCTACAAAATTTCTTCATGAATATCAAAAATTAAAAAATATTTAAAAAATAAAAACCAATATTTTCATAAATAACTACCACCATAGGATGAGCTTTGTATAAACAAATATAATTCTTATCTTGAAAAATATAGTAGAATATTGTTTTTAAAAATTAGTGGAATAAATTCTATAAGAAATAGAATTAATTTTGTTAGAGAAAGAATAACTAAATATTGTCTACAGACTAAAGCTACTAAACAAGTGATGAAAGCCACTAAATAAGTGACCAAACCCTAAAATTTTAAAAACATTCATTTCAACCCCTAAACCCACATCGATCGTCACCTTTTGTCGTCGACGAAGCTCCACCCGACCTCACCTCCCTTCGGCAATCAAAACTCTCATAAAATTGTGATTGATCGACAGTCGATCGACATTTTATACCCTCGAACCCTAGATAGAAAAGTTAACGAACGATTAGCGCTCTAAAATAGCGGCATTTTTACTGCAAAATGCTCTAGAAAAAAAAAAGAATAAAATGACAAAGTGACTATTCAGTCATATGTTAGGGTCATTTTTTATTTAAAATGAAACATTGGTGGTCAAAATGCTCAAAAAAAGAATAGAGTCTAAAATGACTAATTTAGTATACATTTAGCATCCATTAAATAACCATTAAATTTATTAAAATATTATAAAATTGTCATTAAACTTCATCAAAATGTAACAAGATGGTACCAATACCTTGAAAATTAATTGATACCTCAAAATATTTTGAAATTTCATTTTAACCTTAAAACTTACACGTTAATACTAGTACAATCCTAAAGGAATTGGTTTAAATCCTAAGTTCGTTCAATGACATTATTGCCATGCTACTTTTATGTTCATTACGATTTGATCCTTACATGTTTTGAATATGCCATGAAGGCTCTAAAAGTTTCAATTTAATTTCATTTCCGCTGTGACTTCCAAATGTAACGACCCCTACCCTTTACGGACACTCTGAAACAAAACAAAACAAAAGAACCTACAAAATACGAATGGATTTTGAATGTTTTAATGGATATTAAGGAAGACTGAGAAGAGAAGAGTGAGATTTTGAAATGATAAAAAGGGATTTTTTTTTCCTTTCCCCTTCTTGTCAAGAGAGAAAATTTGGATTTGATTTCTGGAAACGAGAAATGGCACCGAAATTTCTGTCTGTGGATTCATTTACGGTCATATCCCCTGTACTGGTAGCGCCTTGCCGTCTTCCGGATGATTCATTTGAAAGGACTCGGTGGTTCAGATCTTCAAGACTTATGGCTTTCATCCTAAACGCAGCGTTGTGGGCTTTTCTTCTTTTACAGTTTCAAAAAGTTTATAAGTGGGTCCAATGGTGACTTTGACCTCTTTACTATGCTCAAATTTGGTATTTAGTTCCTAAACTTTAATCTTATATCATTAAATCATTTATTTTTATAATATCATTTGTTACACTAAAAGCCTAATATTAGTATCAACAAATTTAATATTAGTTTCCAATTAGAGAGAGTATGTATATTCAAATCTTGAAGACGACATTGTTAAAAAAAAAATTGAACTCCAAATAGAAACAAAGAACATCATGAAAGATGTTTTCCTTAAAAAATCAGCAACATCGATGTAAACATTTTATGTTATGCAATGAAATTAAAATCATATCACATTAAAATATAAGAATTAAATAATAAAATTCCTCAATTATAATTTGACCCAAAATTAAAAGTGAGTATAATTGGATTCCCTTGAAAATGAAATGTCCAATACAATTTTTTTTTGGATAATTATGTTTAAATACATGTCAAATACAATAGGTCAATAACTTTTCAATATTACTTAAAGTTTATATTTGAAATTAATATTTTTCATATTTGAGTATAAATATAACTTGTGAAACGTGAAATGATATGTATTCGTATTATATACCTATCTATATCCAACTATACATTAACAAGTTGATGGGTTTTTTTAGGTTAGGGTGACTCTCCCAGACCAGGACCAGGGCATACCTACGATTCAATTGAGATTTATGTAGGAATTTATAGATTGCCCACTAAGAGTAACGATGGTAAGATTCAAACTTAGCCTTACAAGCTCAAATTCTAAAATTCTAACTACTTGTGTCAACACTCATCGACAACAAATCGATGCTTTATTAGATGGAAAAGAGCATATAAGAATGAGGTTCAATGGAAGAGAAACAGGTCATTTGAAAATGATAAGCCCCCCAAAAAGCAAGTGATTTCTAGAAATCAATGATGCATTCATGTGAGCCCTTTTAAGATTTTTATCAAGATTAAGAAATTAATGCTGCCATCTAATGTGGGTCCATTGGATCATCAACAAAAGCGTATACTCAATCACACGAAACTGCTTCATTTGGCTTCAACGAACTCGTAAAACACATTTGATTACACCAAGAGAATCAAAGGCTAAAAGAAAACTAACCCAGCTATAGAGACAAGGGTTAAAAAGAAAACAAGTTCGATTTCAACCTCAAAGCAACCACCTTGTCCCCTTCCATTACAATTAACAATTTTACTCAAATTCGATATATTTTAATTTGATCTGATTAGATACGATCGAGCTTTCTTTCTTTTTTTTAAAAAAAAAGGGTTGAGTTTTAAAGTTCATATTTGGGATGGATTTTGTAAAACATGTAAAAGTAGTCATTAAATTCTTCAAATGATCACAAAATGATAATTAGATTAATAAATTTTCAAATAATCGTTTTGATCACTGAATTACACTCAAGTAAAATGTGAAAGCTCAATAAATTTTGTGACCATTTTGTAATCGTCTGAAAATCATAATGACTACTTTATAAATTTTGAAAGTTTAGGGATCAAACGATCATTTGAACATAATATAGTGACTTCTAGTGCACTTTACCCTTTTGTGTTTTAAGCAATCAAAAGCTCATTCATTATCTCTTACTGAGATTCTGCTGCCGTGGTGGTGTGTGATTGGGAAGCAAAAAGATTATCCACAGCTGCTTTTAGTTTCTCCAAAAGCAAGTGAGAAGCTGGAGTTTCAACATTGAAAAAAACCACCACCATAAATTGAAATTTATAGCATTCAAAAAGTGTTTCAACACATGATTCTTCTTCATTAGATTCAAAGCCTACAGGGGAGAGTTACACTGCAATAGAATAAAATTTAGCAGAATCGTGTCCATCAGAAAAGCTGTGAAGTTCATTGCCACAATGGAAACAAAAATGAATTGCTTTGAACAAAAAAAAGAACCCATATCTTTTCTTCTCTTGATTTAAATCAAGCAGGCCTGTTTCGTTTGAGACCGGTTTTGCCATCCGATTTAGCGGCGCCACTCGAATCGCCTTCGGACAATGCATCCGTGGATTTGACGAAAGAACTCGAAAGATCACCATAGAGATCAACCACTTTTCTTATGTTGTTGTTGAGCTCCCTAATTAAGCCAACATTTCTGGTCAGGTTATGAGGCATCTTGGACTCATGGTTCTGGTTTATCTCATTGATCAACAGCCTATTCTGGTCCAATATATTCTGTACCTGCACAAAGCTCTTCTGAAATGTCTGCACCACCTTGCTATCTATTTGACCACCGCCGCCGCCGCCATTGCCTTGCCCCGAGAATGTATCACTGTCACCCTCCATTTTAAAACCAAAACCAACCCTGAAACCAGACGAGGAGAAAAAGAGCATAACAAAAGATGAGACACATGTGTTACATAATTATTTAAAGCTAAATCCAATGGAAAAGACATGGGGCATTGGAATTGGAATTGTCTAACAGGAAATCTGGGGAAGAAGAAAGGTCTGCAGAGGAAATCATGGCCTCCTCAATGGGTTCTACCTTTCACAAAAGGGAATCCATCAGTTCAACAAAAACATGAAAATAATCAGTTTTCCTTCGAATATTACTCCGTGTTTTGATTGTTAATATTATAATATATTTATGATGAGATGCGAAGAAAGAACAGATCCTATTTCCATAAAAGGGAACCTTTCTTTATTGCACTAAGAATAATAATACCCACCTCAAGCCCTGAGTTCCAAAGAAGGGTCTCTTTTCTCAAACACCAACAAAACAAAAATGAAAATCAGAAATATCAATAAAAATCAAACTAAGCATGGAGAGAAAAATTACTTCAAATTCTGGGAAAACAAAAAAAAGATCCTTCTAGAAAGCAAAGAACAAAAACTTTCATAAACTTACCCAGATTGAAAACCCAGAGGGGGGAGGGAAACACAGTTTAAGCGAAGACGGAGTGAGAGATAAAGAGAGATTGCATGCTATTCTTACATAAGAAGATTATAATTGTTGCATTTAATACAAAAATAACTTTAACTTCGAAATTGCTCTCATTAATCAAACACTTATGTACTTACCTTGAAAATCTGAAGCATTATATTCTGGGAAATACACACACAGATTGAAAGGAGGAAGGCGAGGGATTGTGAAGGAACGAAGGGAAAAGATCGCCGATTAAATCAAATCTCCCAGGAACCAAACAAAACAAAATTTTCTCAGCTCATGGGAGAGAATTTCCAGAGAGAAAGAATGGAAAGAGAGAATATGCAGATTTGACGCTCAGAGTTCGGACATATCTGTATCTAAATACTAAAATACAGTTACATTTATAATACACAATTATAATCGTACATAATATAATTATAAAAAAATACAACCAGACTGATTATTAAAATATATTTTTACATAACTTAAAATAAAATTAAATAGATTTCACATCTAACAAAATATGAATCATAATAGATAAATATAGCAAAATATAATAAATGAAAGAAAATATTGCAAGTATGAAGATGTTTTGAGATATATATGTAATATGATACATAAACATAACTAAATTCATTCAAAAGTTAAAGAAATTGGTACATATTTTTTTCTCTAAAAATATTGATTTGTTTAAATAATTATTAAATATCATTTAAGTTTCTATACAAATAGTATATTTGATGTATACGTATATTTTGTTGGTATTAAATGAGTTGATTTTCCGGGGGGGTTCATTACTGACCACGTGGCATATGAACAATTATGGAGGTTGGAATCTAGGACAAAGGGGCCCACGACCCAAAGATATCTGTACAAATATTCATGTTTGTTTGGTGGGTTGAGATTTCGATGTTGATTAATTTTGGTCTTAGTGTTCGTATTTGTCGTTGAATGTCATTTTCAGCTTTTCATTCACATGAGTTGGCTAATTAGATTTTTGACGTTATTATCTGATTGAGAATTTTTGAATAATTTAATTATGATGATTTTAAAATTGATGAAACGCTATTTTATTTAATTTGATGAATATAAAGAAAATTATCAATACAGCAGTTCATTCTAAATTATTCTCTTCCTCCTCCATTTAGTTTAATCTGTTCCTTTCTACAAACCCAAGTGCAAGTGCAACTAATTAGGTTCATCAGGACATGATGCTAAGAAAACATGGGTTGAACCCAACAGCCCAACACCATCTTTTTTTAATCCGGTCATACAAGCAAGCAGACATTTGATCATCTTAAACTCTCTCTGCATCACCCCGAGGCCAGGCGGACAATCGATATCCTAGTTTCTTCCGGCTTGCACTGTTGCGATGTTGACCCATGACATGAGCGTACTGGACGGCCGTGTGTTATAAAGTATAGTGGTCAGCAAGTCCGTAATCTGAGAAGCTCGGTTCTATACGCATGAAATGGCCTGGCAATGATCGTTTCGAGACAGCTTCTTGCCAAGTATCAACAAACTCATCCATGATTTGCTTGGATTTCTCCAGTGAAGAAATCGGAAGATACTCCACCTGCAAAGGAACAAAAACTTCACTCGGACCAAACTACAGTTGCTCAATAAGTTTAAGAAGCAGTGCCGAACAGCTTAAAACACCAAACTTGGTAGTTGGGGATTTCAGAGAATAACCCCAGATAATTTAACCTCGACAACGACAAGAGGGCACTCATTTCTGGACTGACTTAGATTAAAAGGAGTAAAAGACGGAAAACTAGGATCAAATGTCGAAGCAGATATAACACCTCAGGTCGACAGATTGCTATGAAACACCAAACCATAAACACTTGATCTTACAAAAAGTATGAACTCGCAAACATGCATTAATTTGCTCATTCCAATTCACAAATATCACAACCATCTCTATCCACTAGAAATTAGTATCTCTTTTAGTGGAAAATCAACATCAGCTTGTTTTCCAATCTCTGCGGCTAAGAGAGAGAAAAAAATACAACTTTATCCATCACTAAAATCAAAATGATACACAAAATTCAAATCAATGAAAACTTTTAATCTACATTAGCATTCCGAGAGTGTGTTTTAAAGCATGCAACAAGTATAACACAATACCTCCATTACTATTCCTCTAGTGACAGATTACTGTGAATTGCAAAACCATGAACACATTTTACATTCAACAATTTGCACGCGTGCTCGGATTAACAAATACCGAAACACTATCTATATACAAGAAATCAATACATGTTACAGTAAAAAAAATCAAACATCAGCTTGTTTTCCAATCTCTATGGCATTGGTCTAAGAGAAAAAAGAACAAATTTATTCATCATTTAATCAAAATGATATGTAAAACCTGGTTTTAGCAAAAATTAATCTACATTAGCATTGCAATTGATGTTCTAAAGTATAAAACAAATAAAAATAGGGTACCTCCATTACTATTCCTCTCAAATTTTCAGAATGAATGGGCACAACTTTGCCTACTCTCAATTGAAAGTCGCTTAGTTGGTATTGAAACCCCTAGGAGAGAATAATGATATCAGAAAACAACCCCATTGCAGCAAATCTCCAATGATCCATAAAAAGAATAAGAGAAGTGAAGTGAAATCAAATACCTCGAAATTAAGGGCGACCCTGGATTTATAAGACTGCAATTTCTCCATTATTAACTGAATAGAAGAATCCGCTTCAAGCACAATCTTATTGGCTCGAAGTATAAAATAGTGCTTGTTTGGTTGTTCTGGAAGCGAAATCCCGATGAATTTACGCGGGAATTCGGCGGCTAATGCTTGATCTGAATAATAACATAGCTTAAAGTCGATAATTCGAATTCGGAAACCAAGGGAGGAAACGAAAGGAAAGAGAGAGAGCTAGCTGACCTCGTAACATTGGTTTGTAAAAAGTGAGAGTAGCTTTCCAACGCCATTCATGCTCTCCACGCATTGTGATACTTCGTTTAGAATTTGGCTGTTCACGGTCGATCCTACATTGGGCTGCCAATTGAAAACCCTAGGGCAAAAGAAAAAGGAGCCAAAAGTGAATTCAAAACTAACAATTGTGGAAATCAATGGGGAGTCTCAATTATGGAAAATATTTTCCATTTATTTACCATTTAAAGGCATAGTCTTTGGCTTCTTCGGGTGGCGATTGTAAGGCCGACTAGTCGTCGGAAAATATGACAGCAGACGGCGGACACCAGAGCCTCTGGGGACTTTACATCTGCTAAGACTGAAAATGTTGTAACTTTGGGTGCAGCCAAAGAAAAAAGAGAGTAGGATAAACTACGTATTTAGTCCTTAAATTATCAATTTTAATCTGTTTTAGTATGTAGTCTTTCATTGTTTTCAAAACCATAATTAAAATTTAGTTTTTATTTCATTTTAGTATTATATATTAAAAATTTAACATATTTAGTACTTAAACAATCAATTATGGTCCGTTTTGGTGTTTAAACTTTTAAATATTTTTCAAAACTTAACATTAATTTTTTAAAGGGAGTACTGAAATAAAAACTAAAGTTTTTAACGGCGAAGTATTAAAATGATAGTTTAGGTACTAAATGCATAATTTATGCAAGAGAATGTTATTTTTTTCTGAATTTAATTTTGTCTGTAAATGTGCATATGGTGTTAACGAGTTAAACTTTTTTGAGCATATACAATCTTATAATTATCTAACTATATAAATGATCATTAACGTTTGAATAATTTTTTCTTCACTAATATTTTAAAAGTAACGATTTGATCATTAGTTTTATTAATTTATAATAAATAGATCTCTTAACGTTAAGAATCGATTAAAATTAAAATAATAGAATGGTGATGTAGTGCATTAAATCTATTGACATGATATTGTTTAATCACTCGCGATAATCGTTTTAATCGACCATTTAACTATTTTCTTATGGAAGCACAATTTTTTTCTACTTTTAATTTGTTTTCGAAAAATATATCTTTGTTTATATTTATCTAACGTTACATGACTGTAAGAGTTTCGATCAATTCTCAACATCACAAACATCTTTTAGCAACTCACCACCATCAAAATTATGATTTTAAAATTGATATAAAATATTTTAAAGTTTATAAATGACTTAAATGCCCCATTGCCTCCTGAATTATACCATTTGTATCGAATTGTCTCCTAAAATATTTTTCGAGACATTTTACCACCTAAAATTTAAAATGTTACCTCATTTGTCTTAAATCACTATGTTAAAAAAGACACGGGTAAATTACATATTCAATCACTCAATTATTAGAATTCCGTTCTAATCACCTTTATTATTTATTTTGACCACCTAATTATTTTTTTTTCAAAATCATCACCATACTTACTTTTACTCTATCTGCAAATGCCTCGTTGTTTCACACCGCCACTCAAACACTCTTTCAGCCTCTCAACACATCAACCTACGTATATGCCTTCTCCCTCGTTGCTCTCCTCAACGTCCATTAGTCACCAATTTATTTCATTTATTTTTACTGTACCATTTTTTCGATAAGAACCAAACCAATGCAAACTAAAAATAATAAAAAATTTTGAAAAAAAAAATTGTAACACTCATCGCCCATATATATCTCAATATACGACCCTCAGACATCACATCAACTTGACAAATATTTACTGAGCATAAAGACTTAAAATCTTTTTTTTTTTTACTTTCTTTGTTTTAGTTTAAAAACTTTAATCTTATTCATATAATATCTTAAAATAAATTTAATCACTGAAAACAAGTTCATTTTCAATCAGTAAGCGGACAGTTCAGAACTATTCATAATTATATATATCATTGCTTAAATACTACTTAATTTAAAAATCATTTAAAACTAGTTAAAATATTCATTTATAATACAATTATAACTAAAATTAACCAAACATTAAAACGATTCTAAATTTCTATTTCATACATTTTTTAAATATAAATCTGATAAAGTAACCCAACTTATATAATGTACATGCCACTAATAAGTTAAAGTTAGGATGTCTTACTGATATTGTCGTTAGGTTTGATTTTCCACAAGATGCTGGCAATCTCCTCACTTCACGTCCTCTACTATATTCGAACATACGCATAAAAATCATCACACTCTAAGTAAAACTAAGTGAGAAAAAAGTATAGCTAAAACATAAATTTCATAAAATATAGGCAATAAATTGTAATTTAAATATAAAAAAAATTAAAACTCCAAATCGGGCTAGTTAAGGTGTTTCCCTTCTGAAAACCTGAAAACCACCATCTCGTGATTTTATCAAAAATCATGTAATACATCATCAAATATCATAAATAACTTTTATTCTTTGCATTCGAACATATTTCAGAACTTTCTTTTCAATTCTATATTCATTTCTTTCATATATTCTCATAACTTGCACATTTACTGTTATAGTCTGGTGTATATTTAAGAGAATACAAGGTACGTGAGTATAAGGTGTGCGCTAGGTACAAAACAATGACGAATCATAACTGAAACTGATATATGATGCACTCTAGTGCAATCATAACCTATCCACTAACGGTGTTGATCATAGGGTACACGAATGTACCATAGATGAACTAAAACTGAGATATTATGCACTTTAGTGCAATCATAACCTGAAAAGTACTCAACTTAATGTCATGCCAAATATACCTATGAATCTCAATGCAACATACAATGGGCTTATATTTATCATCATAATATCATTTATTAATCTACGTCTGATAACAATAAAACATCTGATAACTGTAAAATGTCTTATAATTGTAAACATTTAGAACTCATCAACATAAATATCGTAATTGGGAAGTTCATACCCAAAATCATTCATAAAACATGATGAAAAATATTATGAAAATATTCCATCATAAGAACTTATAAATCGTACTGGAGAAATAAAATGAGGTTGACTTATCGTAAGTCGTCATCGATCATAATAATCAAATAAATAAATAATTTGCACTCACTTTAACACTTTACTTATAAATCAAAATATAAGTCTCACTAAGCTTTAGGTTAAATCATTTACTTTAAATTGCTTCCACTACACAATTTATCAAAATTCCATATTCTGGCAGTTTGCACTACCTTCAAAGAAATATTATTCTGTATTAATCTACATACTAAAAAATTATTCTGTTTGCACCAATGAAAAATATACTCGAATAAAAATCTAACCATATAAGGAACTCCGTCTAGTTCCACTTGTACAATTTATAGTAAATTTTCAAAGTTAACTGACAGAAGCTATTTTGGGCAGAATTTGCTGCCATGTTTTCTAACCTATCACCGATTAAAAATTCGTATCATTTTGTATACTCCTCGAAATCAGTTGTCGTTTGTAATAAACGAAACTAGGATGATATATGAATCAAATGGTATAAAATTCATCCTCCAATCATTTTATGTAATTTCTAGTGATTTTATAAACTTACTATTTAGAACAAAATTTCTAGGCAATTTCACCAACTGGAGTCCTTAACTTATTCACTAATTCTATTAGCTAACTTAATGAACATATAGGCTTGAATCACACTTTACATAACACTAAGAGTCATTTTTTAACGTAATTCTGACACTGGCTCATCGCAAGTCAATGTTGATTTGGAACATAAATACAAATGAAATTCACTCACCTTTGCCTCGTTATCGAATCTTCTCCACGATAATCTTCTAATTCCGCATCTTTTCCTTCTCTTTTGAGTTACTTGGATTACTACATTTACCGTAGTCTAACAATGTCATATAACATCATAAAATATTCAAGCTTTTGCTAGTATCGAACTAACATAATTTAAACTTAAATATAAAATTCGATAAAAATAAAATCGATACTTAAATCAATATAAAAACTAAATCGTACTTCCATCATAATTCAAACTTCTAAAAACTTCCTTAAATTCCATTAATATTCATTTTCACCATCAACTCTTCAACTTTTAATAATTTCATAATCCAACCACTAATTATGAATTCTTTTTAGAATTCATATCAATTTTTCTATTTAATCCATAACGGCCCTTCACCATTATGATCACCTCACATTAATCACATAAAATTTCCATCACCTCGATAAAATATCCAATTCAATCCTTTAACATTTAAAATATTGCAATTTCAACCCAAACTTTTCTAAACTTTCAATTTCAATCACCCAACTTCATAAATTAATAATTTGATTCAAGCTCGTTAATTAAACTCAAAAACCAGCATGATAATAATATTTTCCAGCGTTGAAATTTTTTGTTCAAAATAATACCATCACCTTTATAAAATCACAAACAAGTCCATGAAGTTTTAGGAACCTTTCGAATTCCTCCACTAAAATCATCAAACTTGAAATTTAGTTCCCAACAACTTTCCTAACTTATAAATTCCAGCATATTATCCTTATAAATCAATACTAAGTCCCTTAAATTGTACATTTTCACATTAAAATCCCAAACTTCCCAAAACTTGTACATTAGCCCTTTTCTAACTCAAGCTTCCAAATTGATTCAAATCAACCTCCAAATCACATAGAACACTTCTAATAATCATTCTAGACCATAGGAATATTTTTAACATTTTTCCCTTAATTTCTCCCATATGGCATAATACATCATATCACAATAGGTGGACTTTTTGTTCAATCTCAAGCATGAATTCAACCTCCCATGATCAAATTCATGTATTTCCAATACTAAAACCTCAAATTGAATCAAAATCAATCAATTCTCCATAAACCCTAAAGTGACCAAAACTAATATAAGCATGTATAAATAATTTAAATCATCATACATACTTTAGAATTAATTTCCAACCTTAAAAACATAAAAATTCTTCATAAACTTTTCAAAATCACCAAACCCTTCATAATACTAATCATCAAATCTCATCACACAAACATCTTCACCATACAATATTTATGCCAAATGATAGAGAATTTCATGTAGAATAATTCTATATTTCACAACCTAGTCCAAAAGTCATTCAAATAGCTTTCAAAAATCAAACAAAGTTTTCTTACCTTGAGCAAGAGGAGTTTCGGCTAAGAAGAAGATAGGAGCTGAAGATGTTGATTTGTTTCTCAATTATTCTAGTATTTAAAAGCTATTACACTTGGCTTAAAAATAATTTAATTGAATTTTTAATTCAACTTTTAAGAAATTCCATTTTAGTCATTAATGAATCCTAAAAATTACCATATGTCATTTCCCCCAATAAAATAGTCCTTAGTCA